GACACGAGGAAATGGAAAAATATCCCCTGTTCATGGATGGGGAGAATCAAAATTATCAAAATGGCAATACTTCCCAAAGCACTGTACAAATTCAATGTAATCCCTATAAGGATACCCATGACATTCTTCAAAGAAATGGAGCAAACACTCCTGAAATTTATATGGAACAATAACTCCCCACGAATAACTGAAGCAATTCTTGGGAAAAAGAAAATGGGAGGAATCAACCTCCCTAACTTCAAACTCTACTACAAGGCAGTAATAATTTAAACAGCATGGTACTGGAACAAAGGCAGAGCTGCAGACCAATGTAACAGAGTTGAATATACTGACATTTCCTCCCAATCATATAATCATCTAATCTTTGATAAGGGGGCAAGAAAAGTGAAATGGAGCAGGGAAAGCCTCTTTAATAAACTGTGCTGGCAAAACTGGATGGCTACATGCAAAAAAGTGGGCTCAGAACTCTGCCTAACACCATACACAAAAGTAAGATCGAAATGGATTTATGACCTCAACATCAGACCAGAATCCATAATGTTTATTGAAGACAAAGTTGGCAAAACTCTCCATGATATTGAAGCTAATGGTATCTTCAAAGATGTCACGCCACTGACCGAGCAAGTGAAAACAGAGATAGACAAATGGGACTATCTTAAACTAAGAAGCTTCTGCACCTCAAAAGAAACAGTGACCAATATACAAAGACAGCCTACAGAATGGGAAAGGATATTCACCAAATACACATCCGACAAGGGGTTGATATCAAGTTATACAAGGTACTGGTTGAACGCCACAAGAAGAAATCACCCAACCCCATCAAAAAAATGGGGCGAGGAAATGAACAGAAACTTTCTCAATGAAGAAATCCAAATGGCAAAAAGGCACATGAGAAAATGCTCTACATCACTAATCATCAGAGAGATGCAGATCAAAACAACGAGATATCATTTCACACCACAGAGACTGGCCCACATCCACAAGAACAAAAGGAACAGGTGCTGGCGCAGATGTGGCGAGAAAGGGACCCTCCTTCACTGCTGGTGGGAATGCCGGCTGGTCCAACCCTTTTGGAAAACAGTATGGAAGATTCTCAAAAAATTAGAATTTGATCTCCCATTTGACCCAGCTATAGCACTCCTGGGGATATATCCCAGAGAGGCAAAAAGGTATAGTCGAAGTGACATCTGCAATTGTTTGTTCATTGCAGCACTCTTTATAATAGCCAGAATCTGGAAAAAACCTGAGTGCCCGAGAACAGATGACTGGTTAAAGAAACTTTGGTACATTTACACAATGGAGTACTATGTAGCTGTTAGAAAAGATGAAGTTATGAAATTTACATACAAGTGGTACTACATGGAAAGTATCATGTTAAGTGAAATGAGTCAGAAAGAGCAGGATAGACACAGAAAGATTGCATTCATCTGGGGAACATAAAGCAACAAAAAGGGAGACTAACACCCAGGAATGGCTGAGATTAGTACCAGGAATTTTGCTCCATGACTTGAAGGCCAGCCACACGTGCTAGGTGAAAAGGAAGCTCAGATAGAGAAGAGAGCACTAAATAAAGGGTGTTGTGAGGACCCTACCAGGGTAGGAGAAGCATGCTAAAAGTAGTCTATAGACCAAACATGATTGCCACTCAATGCCTCTCTTGCAAAACACAGTACCCAAAAGAAGAGAGAGAGAGAACAAGGGGGAATGCCCTGCCACAGAGGCAGGGTGGGACGGGGGGCTGGGGCTGGGGGGGATGCTGGGACCCGTGGTGGTGGAGGATGGGCACTGGTGGAGGGATGGGTACTTGATCATTGTATAACTGAAACCCAAGCACAGAAATTTATAAGTCTATAACTGTACCTCATGGTGTTTCACTAATAAAAAAAAAGATCGAGCTTTTCAATCATTCACAGATGCTGTTATTATGTTGCTCAGATTTTCTACTGAGCTTTTAGCTTTTGTCAACTACCATACTTTCATTTTTGTCATTTATTATTGTAGTTTTCTCAGTTCAGCTCTCAAATTTTCTTGTGCATTGCCATCTTCTTTGAGCTCATTAGATAACCTTACCATGGCGTCACTAAATTCTCTGAGGATTTACAGAGTTGGTTGGTACTGGTTGCATGGTAAATAATGCTGAAATAAACATGGGAGTGCAAACATCTCTTTGATTCTTTCTTTGAATATTTTAAAGTAATTACCAAGGAATGGGTTAACCAGTGCTTATTGAATCTTTATTTCCAATCTTTTTCTAGAATCTACATCAAAATTTTCATGTAGTTGCACTCATTTACATTTCCACCAATACTATATGATAAAAAGTTCCATTGTCTTCACATTCTCTCCAACACTGTTGTCTTTTGCATAATATTCATCTCATATAGTATGGTAATATCATTATTGTTTTTATTTGCATTTTATGAAAAGTAAGATGCTGAGCATCTTTTCATGTGCCCATTGAGCATGTTTATCACATTTTTTAAAAAATTTTATTGAATCACCGTCAGATAGTTATAAGCTTTCATGTTTGGGTTACAATCACAAAATGATCAAACACCCATCCCTCCACCAGTGCACATCCCCCACCACCAATATACCTGGCATACCCCCTCTTTCTCACCCTCCCTCTCCCTCCATGGCAGACATGGTTCCCCATGATCTCTCTCTACTTTTGGGCATTATGGTTTGCAATACAGATCCCGAGACATTATCATGTTTTGACCATGTTTTGATCATATTTTGAAGAAAAATCTATTCATATTTTCTGCTCAGAAATTTTTGTTGTTTGTTTTTGTCTGGGGGGGTGCATACCTGGAGATGCTCAGGACTTACTCCTGGATCTTCACTCAGGAATCATTCCTGGTGGTGCTCGGGGGACCACATGAAATTCCAGGGATTGAACCTGGGTTGGCTGCTTGCAAGGCAAATGCTCTGTACTATCTCTCTCCCCATATTTTAATTGGGTTGTTTTTTGTTGAGTTTTATGAGTTTGTTGTGCATTTTTATATTATTTGCCAAATGTATGATGTAGAAATATCTTCCCCCATTCAATCAAATTTTTTCATTTTAATAATCTTTTCTTTAACTATGCAGAAGCTTCTTAGTTTGATGTAGTTCTACTTTATTTTTCTTTTAGTTTTCTTATGTTTGAAGTGAGTCTTCAAACACATCATAGTTTATGTTTCTTTTATATATTTATGGTTTTAGGTCTTATATATGACTTTAAACCACTTTGAATTAGTTTTTGTATAAGGTATTAGAGGTCTAGTTTCATTGTTTTCAATGTGGATCTTCCGATTTGCTAACAACATTTATAGAAGAAATTTTTCTTGTTCCAGTCCATGTTTTTGACTCCTTTGTCATAAATTATTTGCTCAAGCGTGTGATTTTATTCTAGGTTCTCAGTTCTGTTCTATCTTTATTACTGATGCTGTTTTGAATACTATCACTTCAAAATATAGTTTGAAGCTAGGGGATATTAAATTCCATTTTGCTAGAATTACCTGGTTCTAAGCTACTGACCTTGGGAAATGAGACTAGATTTGAAGTATTTTGTGTCTTCCAACACCTGGTGTGTGTGAGATCCACAAAACAATCTTGTTATGTAAGGTTGATTCCTATCTTTGATTAAGTTTAACTAATTGAATCACCAAGATGCTACCAAGATGCTACTAAGCTTGACTTTTACTTCCTAAATATATTTTATTGTTATATACAACTCATTTTAGGAAATATTTGAGGCATATTTTAAAATTAGTTATGTCTGATAACCTTGCTTAAGTAACAAAAATACCTCCTCTCAATGGTATCAATTGGCCTTGTAAGGATAATTCTTTTGTGTATTACTTTGCAAGTTGAAATTCCTATTGAGAAACCAGGCTTAACGAGCATCTCCATAGTTCACATGGTGGTGAGAGTTAGGAAGATATAGAATTGGGTTGTAAACCCTAATATTTCTGACTGCAGGTTGTATACACATAAAGACCAGCTATTATAGTTGCAAAAATAGGATTGAGATTTCTGTCTACAGGATGTTTTTTTTAAAAATTTGTATCATTAATTCTATGTGGAGTTCTATGCTTAAGGATAGGACACATTTTAACTCATCACTGTAAACATATAGGCTGATGATAGTGGACTGTGACTCTTATGGGCCTGAGTTTCAGGCCATTTAATAGCCTCAGCTGTTGAATTGCCTCAATGAATATCTCAATCTCTTGATCTTAGTTGCTATGACTCTTAAATACATGTAAGAGCAGTAATAATAATAATAATATTCTGTAATATTGTTGAGAGAATTAAATGCAATACAGCAACAGCACAGGGGCTGGGAGAGAGAACAGGGGTCAGAGGTACATGCCTTCCATTCATGTAACCCTGATTTTACCTCCAGCATCCATGGTCCCCCAGAGCACAACGAAAGTGTCCCTGGTGGATCCCAACATCACAGACCCAAGCAACATTGCAATCTTGGCTCCTAGTACTAAACCGTTTGATCTAGTTAACTGAATATCACTGTGAGTGGCTCAGAGTCTCCTACTCATTTCCTCTGAGACCTCCTCCCACACTGCAAAACTAAAGTAATAGCACACTGCCTAGTATACTAGGTTCCTAGTATATTATGCTTATTGATTGAATCAAATAGCTGATAAAGAATGTTTGTGATAACTGTACCCAGATATGACACAATCACCCCCAGTTATTTGTTTTGAAATTTATTTGAAAGTGGTCGTATTTGGCAAAAAAGTCATATTTGGTATACATATTATAATGTATAAAGTAGATATTTCAAAAATCAGAAATGTGATATTTAAAATTTATAGTTATGGTAGAATAATTATATAAGGCCTCCTTAGTAATTATTTTTCTAGTAGTTCTACCAATGAGGTATTCCATCTTCTGTCCTCTTTTAATATCTGTCTATATTTTTCAACCTTTAACATAGGAATATATTTAGGTCAACATCAATATAACCCTTCATTTAATTTTCTTCTCTTCAGCTTTGGTTTATCTTTGTCAGTGGATTTTCTGGGCAGGCTCTGTTTGAACGCTGGTGCATCAGCTTGTACAATGTGGTAAGCATTCTTCTTCTCTGATAGCAGGTTGGACTTCAGTAATGTTCTGCTACTTATGTCTGGAAGCGACCAAAGTCAGTAGTTATACACATAGCTGGCAATACAAATACAATTTTAAGGTTTTTGTTGCTGTGACAAATCTTGTAGGACCTTTAACTTCTCACATGTATATTCAATCACGTGACTACATGAAATTTATACCCAATACATTTCAACAATATATCTGATTTCTCTTTGTTGTTGCCTGTACTTTTTTTTTATTTCTTTAAATCAAGGAAAATTTGCTAGGCTGCTTAAGTTCATCCCATAATATATATAATTCATGTTTATTAAATTTGTGTATTTATAATTTCATGACTTTTAAAACCTTCAGGTAGAATGTTTGTCCTTATGGAAACATATCATGACATATCTATGCTAAATGATACATTTTAAAATAAATAATTCCTATTAAAATTTTTGTGGAATTTTCTAAAAGTAAATAATTCTATACTTAACTTATTCTAAAGTCATAACATAAGAGAAAATTAAGCAGTATGGTAAATGGCTTGTTAAATGCATGATATTTAAATTTTGTTTTATTTTCTTTGTATTATTATTCCACTGGGCTGGAGCTATAGCACAGCGGGTGGAGCATTTGCTTTGCACGTGGCCAACCTGGGTTTGATTCCTCCACCCCTCTCGAAGAGCCTGGCAAGCTACCGAGAGTATCTCGCCTGCACAGCAAAGCCTAGCAAGCTCCCCATAGCGTATTCGATATGCCAAAAACAGTAACAACAAGTCTCACAATTTGTTGTGAGACATTACTGGTGCCCGCTTGAGCAAATCCATGAACAACGGGAGGATAGTGCTACAGTGCTACAGTGCTATTATTCCACTATAAGGACTGTAAAACTTGGGAAACCTTGCAAAATAAACTAGGCTCCCAGAAAGTGGATCATGATTCCTCTCCTAATCTGAATTATTATAATCACTCTGTGCTCCAACTCCTAAAATTGTGCCTTCTACGAATTCAAATTGTGAGACATACCACATCAAAAGACACTGGGAAGCAGTTACTGAGTGTCCAGTATTATAGAAATGTCTCCTGCTATGCATACTGACAATTGTGTACACTGATGGTTTTTCAACTGCTGGTTGACAAAAATATTATTATTGTCACTTAACACGTGGTTGCCCTGACTTATGTAGTAGAGTGGAGCAGGGCAGTGCTCACAAAATACTGTTACAAACAATAGTTTTTATTTATGCCTTTTTGGTCCACAAAATATTTCTCCAATGTTTATTTGCCTGCGGATATAAAAAAGACTAGGAAGTCTTTTATGGGGGTGGGTGGGAGTACACCTGGGGATCCTCAGGGGTTACTCCTGGCTCTGCATTCGGGATTACTCCTCTCAGGGCTCAGGAGACCATATCGGATACTGGGGATTGAACCCAGCTCAGCTGTGTGCAAAGCAAGTGTCTCACCTGCTAAATTATTACTTCAGCCCCATAGAAGTTTTTGATAGCACTTCTCAGTTTCCAATGAACAGCCCAGGCGCTACTGTACTCCTAAGCGCTGTTGTTTATTTCTCTCTCCTTCTCCTTCCTTCACTTCTTTAATGCTTACTCTCCACTTTTGCCCCATATGATATATTGGCTATTTTAATAAGGTTCCCTCAGTGACAAGGTACAGAAGTTAAAAAATCATTATTATTATTACGTTTTGGGGGCACACCTAGAGGTGCTCAGGGCTTGCTCCTAGCTCTGCACTCAGGGGTCACTCTGGCAGGCAATAGGAACCATAGAGAGTGCCAGAGATTGAACCCGGGTTGGCAACATTCAGGGCAAATGTGCTACAGCAAGTTTTGTACTATCACTCTGGCTCCCAGGTCCAGGTCATGCATTTTTCATTTACTACAGCTGCTGACAAAGTAGCTGTTCAACAAGTAATCAAAGGACAAATGAATGGGAGAGATAAGCTCTTTTTCTGATGATAAGAATCAAGATAAAGAATTATTGTAATTTTAAAAATTAATCTAGCTTTTGGGCTGGAGTGATAGCACAGCAGGTAGGGCGTTTGCCTTGCACACGGCCAACCCAGGTTCGATTCCTCTGCCTCTCTCTGAGAGCCCGGCAAGCTACCAAGAGTATCTTGCCCACAGGGCAGAGTCTGGCAAGCTCCCCGTGACGTATTTGATATGCCAAACACTAACAAAAGTCTCACAATGGTGATGTTACTGGGCCTACTTGAGCAAATCGATGAACAACAGGACAGTGACAGTGATAGTGACAATCTAGCATCTCCTTTACAGTGTTTACTGACACCTACCAAGGGCCAAATGCCGGAAGTTACTATACTATAAGTCTAAGTATACTATACTGTACTGTACTATACGATACTATAGTACCATTAGCTCAAGTACACACTTAAAGCTCTTTCTTTTCCTCTCTCTCTCTCTCTCTCCCTCTCTCTTTATTTTTGGGTCATACCAATTGGTACTCAGGGCTTACTCCTATCTCTGTGTTCAGGGATCACTCTTGGTGTATTTGAGGGACCATATGGGATACCAGGAGTCAAACTGGGATCAACAGTATGCAAGCCCTACCTGCTGTATTATTGCTCTCACTCCTTAAAACTTTCTCAAAAAAATTAAAGTTAACAGGAATTATATATTATTGCTTTATATTTGTAATGCGACCACAACCTGCCCATAACCAGGATGCCAACATTCTTTCATTATTATCCTAAAAGACCCTTCCTCCTTCACTCCCTATCCCATGTACCTACATATACCCCCTCAGTTCAGAGATCAATTTTAGGTTGCTTCTATTGAAGTTTACCTAATCTTTGACTTTGTCTTTATACTCTGTGTGTGAGTGACATCATCTGGTATTTGTCTTTCTGACTCACTTCACTTAGCAGGAATGATTTGTCCCATGTAATGAATCTTATTTTCTTTGTAGGTTTTTACTTCATTACCACCTTTGAGCCTGGGGATCTTTGAAAAGTGTTGTAGTATGAAGAAATTGCTCAAGTATCCACAACTCTACAAAATGTCTCAGGAAGCACAAATTTTCAATACAAAGGTAAACAAAAAACTTGTTCCATGGCTTTCTATCCATGTTTCAAAGGTTCCATTGGAATGGTTCCATCCTTAAAGAGTGTATTTAAAAAACGCAAGAATGCACCCACAAACCATAACTTCGCTTCTTTCAGGGAACTGAAAGAGAACTGAGGTTCAAACTAGGTTATGTGGGAGAGACAAAAGTTGAGGAAAAAAAAGAAAGAAAGGTCCCACATATGGAAATGCAGGATATATGTTGTATAGAAAAGTCTGATGGGTAACTTAGTTCTATGTTTTATTCTGTTGGAATGGATTCTTCCAGGGATCATAGGATCTGAGATTGACTGAGACAGTCAAAAGAATTTTGCATATTGAGAGTAAGACCATCCCCAGATCTTTCTTTCTAAAGCTTTTCAAAAAGCAGATACATGGAAAGCAGCAACATCCTTGTAAAAGTATGAGACTCATTCAAAATTTTTACCTTTTAAAAATTTCACCTTCACTGGAAAATAACATTATAGATGAAGCTGATAGAAAATGTTTATGACTTTACTGTTACCTATGGTCTCCAATTGTTCTGTCAATTGTTGATAGTAACTGTGGTTATATATTCCATTCCCTTTGACATTCTAGCATTTTTACCTTCAATATTTTGAAGTTGTTATTGAGAAAATGTGATCTGTATAGTCTCTTGTTGAATCATGTTTTCATCATAAAGTGGCCTGGCATTCTTGGTAAGATTGTTTTATTGGAAATATACTTTATCTGATGATAATATAATATTTTCAATATTTTTACTTAAAAACTAGTGCATCAGGAGCCTGAGCAATAGTATAGCAGGTAGGGCATTTGCCTTGCATGTGGCCAAGCCGGGTTCAATCCCCTGCACCACATATAGTTCCCCTAACCGTAATTGTTATCCCTGAACACAGAGCCAGGAGTAAGCCCTGAATACTGTGGTGTGGCCCCCCCAAACTAAAATTTACATAATAATCTGCTACTCATGTAGTATGTGGAATTGCTTCATTACCCAATTTGATAATGCCTGATTTAATAAAGAATACTTAAGGCCTTTAATTTAAGCTGCTTATTGGTATATACATGTCTATATACAAACAGTTTTGAGGGGTCATGTCCAGCAGTATGTAGAGTTTATTCCTAGCTCTGTGCTCAGCAGTCATTGCTAGTTGCTCAGAGGATTTAACTCTTGTCAGTTGTGTCAGGGTAAGCATACATACTATTTCTCTGGCCCATTTCTATACATTTTTATTTGTCAAAACTTTATTGAATTTAGGTCTGTTTTATGAATGCGTTATTAGGTTTCATCTGGTGTAGTCCATTTTTCAATTGTTTTGTTTTCAAGACTACTTAAGCAGTGTTTATTTGCCATTGATTAATTTTTCTTCTAAAATGCTGAACCTGTGCTCCTTTCTGGTCTATTTTTTTTCTTGTCCAGTGCAATTTTTAATCTGTAAAATTGTATTTTCTTTGGGTATCTTTACATCTCTGAGTTCCCATGTATACTTCTTAACATAATAACTGACACTATAGTTGTCTACAAAGTCTTCTGTATTTTTTCTGTAATAAATTTGGATTGATTTACATACCAACCCATTAGGGCTGGTATCTTACTGCTTCTTTTGTATGCCTGATACTCTAAATTGAATAACAGATAACATGAGTTTTTCCAAAGTGAGTGCTGGATTTTTTTTTCTATTGCTCTAAATTTTTTTAGTTTAATTTTATTTATTTATTTTTAATGAATCACCATGAGGTACAGTTACAGACTTACAAACTTTTGTTATTACGTTTCAGTCATACAACGATAGAGTACCCATCCCTCCACCTGTGCCCATTTTCCACCACCAATGTTCCCAGTATCTCTCCTGCCACCCACTCCCCTTCCCACTCCCTGCCTCTGTGGTAGGTACATTTACCTCTTAATCTTTCTCTGCTTTGGGTGTTATGGTTTGCAATGCAGGTACTAAGAAGCCCTTGTGTTTGGTCCATAGTCTATTTTCAGCATGCATCTCCCATCCTGAGCAATCCCTCTAAGCATCATTTATGTAGTAGTCCCTTCTGTATCCCAGCTGCCTTTTCCCCCAGCATGTGAGACTGGCTTTCAAGCTGTGGAGAGATCCTATCGGCCCTTATCTCGACTATCCTTAGGTGTTTGTCTCCTGTTATATTTTATATTCCACAAATAAGTTTGTCTCCTATTATATTTATATTCCACAAATAAGTGCAATCATTCTATGTTTGTTCCTCTCTTTCAGATTCATTTCACTTAGCATGATACTCTCCATGTCCATCCATTTATATGCAAAATTCATGATTTTATCTTTTCTAACAGCTGCATAGTATTCCATTGCATAGATATACCAGGTTTTTCAACCAGTCATCTGTTCCTGTGCACTTGGGTTTTTTCTAAATTTTGGCTAATGTAAATAGTGCTGCAATAAACATACAGTGCAGATGTCATTTTTACTGTACTTTTTTGCATCTCCAAGATATATTCCCAAAAGTGGTATTTCTGGGTCAAATGGAGCTCAATTTCGAGTTTTTTGAGAAACACCCATATTGTTTTTCAAAAAGGTGCATTCCCACCAGCAATGAAGAAGAGTCCCCTTTTTTCCCTGCATCGATGCCAATTCTGGTTACCTTTGTTTTTTTTGGATGTATGTCAGTCTTTGTGGTGTGAGATGATATCTCGTTTTGATCTAAATCTCCCTGATGATTAGTGATGAAGAACATTATTTTCATTTGACTTTTGGCCATTCAAAATTCTACTTTGAGAAAGTTTCTGTTCATTTCATTGCCCTATTTTCTCATGGTATTGGATGTTTTGTTCTCGTAGAGTTCAACCAGTGCCTTTTATATCCTTAATATCAACCCCTTATAAGATGGAGATTTGGTCAATATCCTTTCCAATTCTGTGGACTGTATTTTTATTCTGTCCACTGTTTCTTTTGAAGTATAGAAGCTTCTTAGTTTAAGATAGTCCCATTTTTTTAATCTGTTTCCACTTGCTTGGTTAGTGGTATTTCATCTTTTATTTTTCTTTTGGGTCACACCCAGTGATGCTCAGGACTGACTCCTGACTCTGCACTCAGGAACCATCCCTGGTGGTACTCAGGGGACCATATGGGACACTGGGAATCGAACCCGGGTTGGTCACGTGCAAGGCAAACGCCCTACCCGCTGTGCTATTGCCCCAGCCCCGGCATTTCATCTTTGAAGATACCTTTAGCTTCAATGTTGTGGAGAGTTTTGATGACCTTTTCTTCAACGTCAGTAAAGAAGCAAACAGCACCCGGCCCAGACAAGGTCAGACCTGAACACCTGAAGAACCTGCCGTCAGTACTCATCAATACACTGGCTCGGCTCTTCACTCGCTACCTGTCTGAATGCAAGGTTCCATCTCAATGGAAAACCAGCAGGACCGTACTACTGTTCAAGAAGGGAGACATCCATGACATTGGCAACTATCGCCCGATCTGCCTATTGTCTGTCATCTACAAGTTGTTCACTCGAGTCATCCTGAATAGGATTGGCAGAACACTAGATGAAGGACAACCATGTGAGCAAGCAGGGTTCCGCAAAGGATTTAGCACCATCGACCATATCCACACGATAACCAAACTCATTGAGGTTTCTCGGGAGTTCAAGATGCCGCTCTGCTTAACGTTCATTGATTTAAAGAAGGCCTTTGATTCTGTTGAGACGGAAGCGGTCATTGAAGCCCTAGCCAATCAGGGCATTCAAGCCCAATACATCAGGATCCTCCGTGAGCTGTATTGCGGATTCACTACCAGGATCTCACCATTCTACAAAGAAGTGATCGTTGATGTCAAGAGAGGGGTGCGGCACGGTGATACCATTTCACCAAAACTCTTCAGTGCCACCCTCGAGAACATCATGCGACGACTGGAATGGGAAGGAATGGGAGTGAAGATAGATGGTCGGCAACTACACCACCTCCGCTTTGCTGATGACATTGTTTTAATAACACCAAACATCAGCCAAGCGGCTCAAATGCTGGCCGACTTTGACCGTGAGTGTGGAAAGGTAGGACTACAGCTGAATCTTACGAAGACAATGTTTATGAGAAACAGCCTTGTTCCTGACGCCCCATTCGCTCTCAATGGAACGACCATCTCCGAATGCAACAGCTATGTGTACCTAGGTCGAGAGGTCAACATGACAAATGACCTGGCACCCGAGCTGCGCAGGAGGAAGAGAGCGGCTTGGAACGCCTTCAAGAACGTCGAAGAAATAGCTAAGAGGACGAAGAACCTCCGGCTCCGGGCACATCTCTTTGATTCCACTGTTCTTCCTGCATTAACATATGCCTCAGAGACCTGGGCCCTACGCAAACAAGATGAGAACGCCATTCAGGTCTCCCAAAGAAGAATAGAAAGAGCTATGCTTGGAATATCACGTTTCACTCAAATGAGAGAACGAATCCGGAGTTCTGACATCCGTCGACGATCAAGGATCAGGGACGCTGTCTCATTTGCCAAGGTGTCGAAAATCAGATGGGCTGGTCACGTAATGAGATTTAAAGACGACCGTTGGACTAGAGCTGTTACTGATTGGATTCCACGGGATGTCAAGAGACCGCGTGGCCGCCCACCTACCAGATGGTCAGACTTCTTTGTCAAGATCATGAACGATCGGTTTGAGGCCCTCCATGTTCCCGGAGCGAAGAGATGCCATTGGGCTACACTAGCACGCAACAGGGACAAATGGAGACGTTACTGGCGCCCGCTCAAGCAAATCGACGACTAACGGGAAGTTAAGTGATTAAGTGATTAAGTGATTTCTTCAACGTACCTTATGGATTCTGTTCTGATGTTGAGGTCTTTAATCCATTTAGATCTGACTTTTGTGCATGGTGTTAAGTAGAGGTTTGAGCCCATTTTTTTGCATGTAGCTGTCCAGTTTTGGCAGCACCATTTGTTAAAAAGGCTTTCCTTGCTCCACATCACATTTCTTGCTCCCTTATCAAAGATTAGGTAA